ACAATGTAATTGAAAAGCATTGAACACCTTCAACTCTTTTTGTCCCTGTTAGTCAGGGTGTGATCTTCAAGTATCAGCCTGTTTTCTTTCTAACTCCTCTTGCTATGAACTTACTTTAAAAGCCATTCCTGTTGTTCACCACAACAGTGGCCAGTTTCAACTCTGATAATGTTTTGGCCTTTCATGCCTTCTCCCTGCATATATGAACCACAGTTCTGCAAGCTTCCTGCATATCCTGACCTTACTTCCAGAGATCATATAATTTCTGTCTGCTCTGGAGCTCCACAAGGAGTTCCCTATTTGGCCAAGCTGATTTTCTGGCCTGTGTGCTTGACTTTTGGCACAGTGGAGTTGCCTTCTAATAGACTGCAACCATAAAGAGTTGTGAGAACATGTTCCTTGTCCTTGGATGGATTGCAGACAGTAAGAACTTTGGCTTAGCTGCCAATTCTGAAGGTGAAATTAAGATGAACTCAGAAGAGAGGCATTGGATTTGGTTTTGTCAGTATTGTTCCCGAATTTAGAGGGCTCATAATGGGAGTGAAAAGTTGTCCTGCTAGGATTTTCTGTGTTTTCCTTTTTTTTTTTTTTTTTCCCCTCCCTAATCTGTGAACTGTATTTGAACATTTTCTTGCCTCTTCCTCGTAAGAAGAACTGTCACCCCCATGTATAATAAAAGATTGTTTAAATGAAAACAGCATGATAGGATATTTGGAAACCCTCATGTGTTGTGCTGCAGTTATAAGCTGTGCTGTTGTAACATGGGAGACGCTTGTATGTAAAAGCAAAATAAAGAGAACACCCAAATTCTTTGTGTGGAGCCAATCTTTGTAGAGCTGTTCTTTCTGGGAAAGCTCTGTCACAGATCCTAAAGGGCCAGGAGTGTTTTTCACATGTTGTCCCTTGGCTGAGATAAGGTTGAGTGGGTACAGTTCTTGTATTGGGAGATGTTGCCAGCAGAACCTTCAGGAAAGTTTTGGGGAGCAGGGAATTGCTGTCAGGCCTCTACAGGTCTCTTCAGTACTGACCACCTGTGTGATAGGGCACAGTTGTATCTAGATTGGGGCAACCTCTCCCTGAGCTTCCTGGGTGACTTGTGTATGCAAAGGCCTCTACAAAACGGATATGGCGAGAGTGACCTTCCGAACTCTTCTGATAGCTCCAGCTGCAGATGGCAACTGGGAGGCTTTCCAGCATAAACTGTGAGACTATAGTTGTAGGAGTTTCAGAAGATGGATGTCACAAAGATGGCATCCCTGTTCCTTTGGTAAGAGTTTGGGGGAGCTCCAGGAGGTGGGCATTTGGTGAGCAAAGACAGCGACCAAGAAGAGGCTTTGCTCTTGAGAAATACAGAGGATTACAGTCTCCCTTTCACAAGGTCCTGATAAAAAGGTAGGTCCAGACAACAGGCTAGTGTAGGGATACTGACCAGAAGACCATTGTACATCAAGGACTGAGTGATCCACTGTCCAGTTGACCTTGGAACGCACAGGCTTAGGCCATCCCGTGTTGTGTTCTATGGCATAAATCCCCTGTTCCACAGACAGTTCATGTTAACAGAGGAACCTGCAGGCAGCTTGCACTTGCTACTGGTGAGAAAGCTACCTGCAAGCAAGGAGGCCTCATAGGAATTTCTTTTCCTGAGACAGGAGAAACAATTAATAAAAATTTCTATCTTGCAGGAAAGCCCTAAAAAGGCTTGAAGAACTGAAACAGGGTCACTCTTTCTTTTTTCTGAGTGGGGTCTGCCTGGCAGTGTGTGGCTGGAGTCTTCTGTCTAGCTACTCTGCTCGGGGTTCTCCACATCTAGAGGGACATGGAATTATGGTTGCTCATCTCCTCCAATGGTGACAACTATAACAAACAGAGTTATAAAGACATTTGAGAGAGTTGGTGTGTAGCTATTCCAGAGATACAAGGAACCAGCATCTCCTGGTGTAAAACTGCAGCTTCTCAGGTTGTTCCAGGTGGAGGGTCTGGTTGTCTGATGCACTGCGTAACTTAAGAATTTATCACCTGAGAATGAGACAGGGAAATGCTCTTTTCTGCACTGGAGAACCTGCACAAAGTGCTGAACTTTCCTGAGGGGCTCATCAGAAGTGCCCCTTAGGATGGACAACTTCTTAGTTCAGGTAAGAGATGGTCCTACCAGAGGAGATGCATTTCTGGACCTGTTGGTCACCAGCGCAGGCAAGCTAATACGAGACATCAAGTTTGGAGACAGACTGGGTTGTAGTGGTCACACACTGGTTTGTTTTGCAGTCTTGAGGGATATAAGTCAGGTGAAGAGTAAAGTCATGTCCCTATATTTTAGGAAAACACACTTCACAGAGGGGTTAGACTGCCTGGAAAGCTACTCTCAGGGTCAAAGGAGCATAATACAGCTGACAGATCTTTAAGGACACTTTCTGCAGAGTGCAAGACCTCTCAGTCCCCACACATAAATCTGGCTGTGATGGGGCCCAGTTATATCCAGACTGGGGCAACCTGACCCCTACCCTCCCCGGGAACCTGGATGTCCAAAGGCCTCTACAAAGCAGGGAGGTTGGAGGAGTGATGTTCCAGACTAGGATGGAAGGCATGGAATGGAAGGCAAGAGACTGACATGGCTGAGTAAAGATTTGCCAGTGAAACTAAGGGGCAAGAAGGAAATGCACAGGCAGCAGAAGCTGGGATAGGTATCCTGAGGAAAGTCTAGGGACACTGCCAGTTGTGTAGGGGTGGAGTCAGGAAGGCCAAGGCATGGCTGAAGCTGAACTTTTTAAGGGATGCAAAGAATAGTGTGAAGGGCTTCTACAGCAGAAGCAAAGTCCTTCCCCTGCCACCGTAAGAGAAGATCAGGTTTGAGACCACCAGAGGAACTGGAACATACGTAAGTTTATGGGACTTAATGAGACGAATCTCAAGGTTCTGAGGGAATTGGCTGATGTAGTTGACAAGCCACTCCATGATATTTCAAAAGTCATGGCAGGTAGGTGAAGTCCCTGGTGACTAGAAAAATGGAAATATCACACCCATTTTTTAAAAGGTTTGAAAGGAGGACCCTGGGAACTAGTACCCTCAACCTCATCTCTGTACCTTGGAAGATTATGGAACAGATCCTCCTAGAAGATGCGTTAAGGCACATGGAGGACAGGGAAGTGATTCGAGACAACCAGCATGGTTTTACCAAGAGCGAGCCTTGCCTGGACAGCCTAATGGCCTTCTATGACACTGACTACATCAGTGAGCAAAGGGAATATATCTACCTGGACTCCTCTGAGGTCTTTGACACAGTCCTGCGCAACACCCTCTCTCTAAATTGGAGACAGGCGCATTTGATGAATGGACTGTTTAGTGGATGAGGAATTGGCTGGATATTCTACAGCATAATGTCCAGATGGAAATCAGTGATGAGCAGTGTGCCTCCGGGGTCCATATGGGGACCAGTACTGTTTAATATCTTCATCAGCAACACAGACAGTGTGATCAAGTGCACCCTCAGCATATTTGCAGATGACACCAGAACTGATGGTGTAGTTCATACACCTGAGGGACAGGATGCCATTCGGAGGGAGCTTGGTAAGCTTGAATGTCATGATGTTTAACAAGGTCAATTGTAAAATCCTGCACCTGGGTCAGAGTGTGGCAGGTACACCTGGCCTTATGAAAGCCTTGACAAAGACCTGGAAAAAGCCCATGGAAGCTTCCTCTTATTGATGAAATCCTGGGAGAGCTTCCTCTATGATCACCTCTTGTTCCACCCACATAGTGGTAAGCACAGGGGCAAGGAAGGTGGGATCCTGAGCCAATGAGGTGACACCATCCAATGTAACTCCTTGTGCTTGAGAGTCCTCCATTTTTAGGTGAGTGATAGTGCATTTTGGATCATTGGGCCCTAAAGTTTAAGAATTGGCAGTTTAGTGATGAATCCATGTGACATCTCGAATCTGTAGTTAATGTGGGTGAAGCTTTAATTGAATTTGAACAATATATTTTGTTTACCCTCAGTTTATTCTGTGACATGGGGCAACCCCCAGGATCAATACAGGTTCAGGGATGAAGGGTTGATAGCAGCCCTACAAAGAAGGACTTGGGCGTACCAGTGGATAAGAAGGTGGACATGAGCCAGTGATGCACTCTCACAGCCAAGAAAGCCAACCATATCCTTGGATGAATTAGCAGCAGCATGGCCAGCAGGTCAAGGGAGATGATTCTGGCCCTGTCCTCCGCCATGGTGAGACCCCACCTGGAGGATTGCATGCAGTACTGGGGGTACCTTATTGTGGACTTTCAATAATTCAAGAGAGCTTGTAAGAGAAATGGGGACAGACTTTTTTAGTAGGGCCTGTTGTGATAGGACAAGGATGAATAGATTTAAACTAAGAGAGTAGATTCGGACTAGACAGAAGGAAGAAACTGTTTACAATGTGGGTGGTGAAACACTAGAAAACGTTGCGCAGCAAGGTGGTAAATGCCCCATGCCTGAAGATATTCAAGGCCAGGTTGGATGGGGCTTTGGGCAACCTGGTCTAGTAAAACGTGCTCCTGCCCATGAGTGGGGTGGAACTATTTGACCTTTAAATACCCTTTCAAACCTACACCATTCTGTGATTCTATGATTCTATTCTATCAGTCAGTAATTCTAAGCAAAACGGTGGGTAGGACTTTTTGGAGAGACTATCCTGAATGCAGGCATGTCCGTAAGTCTGTAAACACTGTTATCACGGGCAATAGCAAGCTCTGCCGGCTGAGCAGGAGTGGAGAGCCGCTTACCCCTGCCGCTGCGCTGCAATTGCTGTCTGCGGCTCCGAGTGTCGCTGTTGACACGCGATGGGCCGAACGCAAGAGGGCTGCCGCCAGAGCAGAGGCGAGCCAGCCGCGGGACTGCGAGATCCGAACCGGAAAGAAGTGCTGCGGGAGCGGTACGAGCCGAGCTGTTCAGAAGAAGGCTCGGCGGGAGGAGCGCAGCGGCAGCGGTGCCCCGCGAGAGGGTTAAGCGAGTGCTGCCGAGCTTCGCAATGGCGGGGAGAGGAGGGCGCTGGAGCCAGAGGGATCAAGCCCTGCTGTGCACCGTCCTGGTGGCGGCGTGGAACGCGGCTTGGGGGCACCTGCGCTACTCGGTTCCCGAGGAGCTGCCCAAGGGCTCGTTCGTGGGCGACGTGGGCAAGGACCTGGGGCTGGAGCTGCCGGCACTCCGCGATCGCGGCGTCCGAATCGTCTCCAAAGGTAGGACGCAGTATTTCGCCCTGCACGGGAAGACGGGCCATTTGGTAACAGCTGAAAGGATAGACAGGGAGCAGCTGTGCCGGCTAGTGGAGAAATGTGTGCTGAGCTGCGAGGTGATAGTGGAGGGGGAAATGAAGCTTTACGAAATTGAAGTGGAGATCACGGACGTTAACGACAACGCGCCCAGCTTCAGGGAAATGGAGCTGGAGGAGACAATGAGTGAGATGACAGCCCCGGGGTCGCGGTTTCCCTTGGCCAGGGCTCACGACCCTGACGCGGGCCCGAATTCCCTGCAGCGCTACGAGCTGAGTGGCGACGACCACTTCTCGCTGGCCGTGCTGGCGGGTCCCGGCGGCGATCAGCGTCCCGAGCTGGTGCTGGAGAAGGCGCTTGACCGGGAGGAGGCGGCGTTTCACGAGCTGGTGCTGAGGGCGAGCGATGGTGGAGAGCCTGCGCGGACGGGCACGGCGCGGATCCGCGTGGTTGTGCTGGACGCCAACGACAACGCGCCCGTTTTCAGCCAGGAGGAGTACAGGGTGCGTGTGCCAGAGGATGTGCCCGTGGGCTCCGTCCTCGTCACCCTCACGGCCATCGACGCTGATGAAGGGCTTAACGGTCATTTGAAATATTCGTTGAAAGAAATGCAGCTGATATCGGACGTGTTTCAGCTGGATTCTGAGACGGGAGAGCTCACCTTGGTGCGCAGCTTGGACTTCGAGGAAGATGACTCCTACGAACTAGACGTGCAGGCACGGGACAGCGGGGGCCTTTTCGATACAGCGAAAGTCGTGATCGCTGTTACAGACGTCAACGACAACGCCCCGGAGATTTCGGTGCGATCGTCGCTGTGCGAGATCTCTGAGGACGCGCCTTCGGGGACGGTGGTGGCCCTGCTACATGTGCAGGACAGGGACTCGGGGACGAACGGCCACGTGCGGTTCTCGCTGGACGGAGGCGTCCCGTTCCGGCTCCAGAGCTCTCAGGGGAGCTACTACAGTGTGCTAACGGCGGGGGAAATGGACCGCGAGAAGGTGTCCGAGTACAACGTGACCGTGCGGGCGGTGGACGGTGGGTCGCCGGCGATGCAGAGCAGCACAGTGCTGGCACTACGGGTGCTGGACGTGAACGACAACGCACCCGTGTTCGCCGAGCCGCGCTATAGCGCCCGGCTGGCAGAGAATAACGCGGCGGGAGCGCTGCTGCTGACGGTGCGGGCAACGGACGCGGACTGGGGGCAGAACGCGCGCGTGCGGTACCGGCTTTCGGAGGGGTGGGTGCGGGGCGCGCCGCTCTCGTCGTACGTGTCGGTGCAGGCAGAGATGGGCGCGCTGTACGCGCTGCGCTCGTTCGACTACGAGGAGGTGCGCGAGGTGCGGCTGTGGGTGTGGGCGGAGGACGGTGGCGCGCCGGCGCTGAGCAGCAACGTGTCAGTGCTGCTGGAGATCGTGGACGAGAACGACAACGCGCCGCAGGTGCTGTACCCGCCGGCAGCGGCGCCTTCGGCGGCGGTGTCGGGCTGGTCGGGCGTGGAGCTGGCGCCGCGGTCGGCGGAACCCGGAGCGCTGGTGGCCAAGGTGGTGGCGGTGGATGCGGACGCGGGGCAGAACGCGTGGCTGTCGTACGAGCTGGCCAAGGCGACGGAGCCGGGGCTGTTCCGCGTGGGGCTGCACAGCGGCGAGGTGCGCACGGCGCGCTTCACGCTGGCTCGCGACGCGGCTCGCCAGAGCCTGGTGGTGGTGGTGAAGGACCACGGGCGGCCGGCACTGTCGGCCACGGCCACGCTGACGGTGGTGCTGGCCGAGAGCGTGGCCGAGCTGCTCTCGGAGTTGGGCAGCGTGGCGGCGGCGCCGGGCGAGCCGGCCGCCAGCCTTACGCGCTGGCTGGTGCTGGCCGTGTCGGCCGTGTCCTGCCTCTTCCTCTCCTTCCTGCTGCTGCTGCTGGCGCTGCGCCTGCGGCACTGGCACCGCTCGCAGCTGCTGGCGGCGTCGGGCAGTGCCGCCTTGCGCGGTGTCCCGGCCTCGCAGTTTGTGGGCATCGACGGCGTCCGCGCCTTCCTGCACTCGTACTCGCATGAGATGTCTCTCACCGCCGACTCGCGCAAGAGCCATCCCCGCTTGTCCTCAGGCAGCTGCTGCGACACGCTCCCGGCCCGTCCGCCTCCTGAGGCTTCGGGTGATCTCGTCCCTGCCGGAGATCACATTGACCGGAATGATGGCCAAGTTTGCTTTCAGGTACGTTAATTTTTTTAAACTTGTCTGTGCAGGTGCCGTAGGATTCGTAGGGTGTCCACTGACATTTCAAACTGCACTGTTCCCAGTTTTGAAGATCCTGTTTTACTGTAGTAGGTAGCTCTTGAATGTAATCGTCTGAAGTGTGCTGAGTATTCTCTGTGGGTTTTATGTGCCATGTTCTCTACCCGCTAGTCGGATGTCATCACATCTAACTTTCCCTAAGGGTGGAAGGTTCCATTACGTATGCAGATGCAAAAGGAAATTTCAGTCTAGGGCTTCCTCTGACACTTGCTTGAAATTGTTTATGTACTTTTAAGTACGAAGTTCCCAGAATTTCATTGGTGTGCTCTATCAGCTGCCATGTGCTAGTAGAATTGATCCACCTTGCATTCCCAAAGCCATCACTTTGAAATCCCAGGTTACTTGGAAGTCTACCTCTAACAAATTAGTTAATCCTGACACTCAAAGTTCTATGAGTTGATTTGTATAACATGGAGAAAAATCCCTCTGATTTTTTCCCAATGCTATGTTTTGTGCCTTAACTTTTGGATTCGATATAAATGCTGTAATTAGTGCGCAAACGTAGACATTGAACTAGAGTATATTTACTAGAATACGGATTTAAAATATTTTAAAACAAAGTATGATTTATCACAGTCTGTTTGTCTTGTGTCTAATTTCAGAATGATAGTTGTTTTGAGAATAAAAATTATTTTATTTCCTGATTTTCTTATTAAAACTTGTTTTTCCTGACAAGCACAGCATTATGTTCTGAAAGCACGTCTACCAAAGAGGCTGTCTTGGAAGTGGCTTGCCTTATTTCTTTCCTTACTGGTCTTTCAGCATTGACTGGATAGGCTTTTTGGACTTCAGGAATAGAATCAATGGATAATATTAGGTCGCCCTATTGCTTGTTATTCTCCTATTTAAGTTCGTTGCATGGGAAACAAAATGAACTCTTGTTACAAAAACTACTGTTTTCAAGTCGAGAGAAAATCGTACTATAAGGTTCATGGTGCGAATTTGCACAGTGTTTTTTGTGGTGATTCTAGATCTTGCTAAAACGTTGTGACTGGCGCTTTTGTGTGTGGTGAGAATGTAAACTGAGACACAAAATATGCCACACATAAACTAACCTTGTGGAAGTTACCCCTTTTGCTGCCATCCATCAGACACAAACTTACATGGAACATGCATGTGAGAAGAAAGTGTTTCCCTCGGTGATGCAGGCTGGTTCTTATCTGCCGACCTTCTGTGGCTTAACTGTGCTGTGTCCCGCACACCCAGGCACAAGGAGGAAGAGAAAATCCTGGAACTAGGAGATATCAATCTCCGCTTAAAACAGCAGCGGGGGAAGGGTAGTTAGGGGCGAAAGGCTGTGTGCGTCGGTGTGTGCGGAGTCCCGAGGTCCCTATACAAATATTTACATCCTTCCCTTGACCTCATGTAAAGATGCTCACCTGATTGCTACCACTTGGCTCCTGACACATTAAAACCAGGTTCTCGTTCAGATAGGTTATTAATTTGTCACCGTGAGTTATGTATGTGTAGCTGGAAGAGAAGGAATTCTCCTCTGGCTATATGGCCAGAGTCAGCAGTAAAACACATTTTCTAACACTTTACTGAGAAGGGGAGGAAGTCTTCCCGCTGACTGGTGGAGGTAATGTGGAGATTTTTCTAGTCTTTCCTTGTCTTCTGTACAAGGGGCTGTGGCGATACAACCTTCCTTCGGGTACATGGGTTGTTTTTCCTATTTTTGTTTTGTTTTGCTTGTTTTTCTTCACGGTAAGTGAGACGAGGTTTTAATGTACAGATGAGATAAAATGCTTAATTGTGAGGGATCTCTCTGTTTTCTCTTGGCTTGTTCAAGCAATGGTAACCGCCGTCGACACTTGCCAAGAAATATTCTTAAGGTCTGAGACCCACTGCAGTAATGGCCGGCTTAGGAGGTAAGGATGTGGTTTGTCAGAGAGATATAAGAAATTCGGGATTGTATTGTATTGTATTGAAATGGTGATGCGGGGCATGGAATGTCAGAAGAGACGGCTCTGGTGGTTCTGGTGTGAGTCCTGTGGTTTAATCAGGGTCCGGGATTCCCGGGCTTCAGCGTTCATCCCATCTTGCCGCTTCTTTCAAAGCGGGGAGGAGGTGGCGGCGGGGACACCCTGTGCAGCATCCTGGAGATCAGAGCTAGAGACCTTGCCTCACATCCAGCAATGGTGGAGGATTTGGGCTGCAGAAGACTTGCAAGTGTAAGGAATTCAGGCAACGGGAATTCCTAGATGCACCATTTCAGCACAAGTACAAGTTTTCTATTTCGCGTTACTGACATATTTTCCCACCCGGGTGTGAGTCCGATATTAAGACGTGCGTGGCAACACCTTGGGGTGTTCTCTCCCTCTCGGTCCTTGCGGTTCTCCAATACGGACTCACGGTGTCACTGTTGCCCAAGTCGGAGAAGCCGCTCAGCAGTCGGCCCCTCCCCGGCTCCTATCTGCAGTGCCGCTCTGCCGGGAGCGGAGAACAGGAACAGCCCGACTCAACCCGTCCTCCGCCCAGCAACAGGGATTTCCTATATTTATTTCTTTCGGGTACAGATTCAGCTGCTCGGAAAGCCTAATTTAAACTCGTCTGCAGAATCCTCTTCAGCAAAGAGAAGGATGGAGGTGAGACCGGCAGCGCAGGGCCGGGCAGCCACGGGAAGGATCTTGCTATTGATCGCTCTGCTGCCGGTGTGCTGCCGGGCGGCGCAGGAGCGAGTCCGCTACGCCATCCCTGAGGAGCTGGGCAGAGGCTCGCTGGTTGGGCAGCTGGCACGGGACCTGGGCCTGAGCCCGGCGGAGCTGCCGGCACGCAAGCTGCAGATAGTCTCTGGTGACGAAAAGCAATATTTCGACCTCGGGGAAGAGAGTGGAAATCTGCGAGTAAAGGAGAGGATAGATCGAGAGAACATCTGCGGGGCCGTGTCACCCTGTGTCCTCAATTTAGAGGCTGTCGTGGAAAACCCTTTCAATATCTTTCATGTGGACATTACTATCCAGGATATCAACGACAATTCTCCTCAGTTTGACAGAGAATTTGTTGACATAGAAATAATGGAGTCCACCGCTCCTGGGGCCAGGTTCCCTCTGGGCAGTGGCAGAGACCCCGACATCGGAACTAACTCATTACAAAACTACCAACTTACCCCCAACCAGCTCTTCTCCCTTGTAGTCAGGGAGAGTCCTGACGGGATGAAATATGCGGAACTGGTATTGGAGAAAAGCTTAGATCGAGAAAAACAGAGAAATCACCATTTGATATTGACGGCCGTGGATAGTGGGAATCCAGTCCGATCCGGAACGGCCCAGATTAATATTTCCGTGACCGATGCAAATGACAACCCGCCGGTATTCACCAAAGAGATCTACAAGGTTCAACTTCTGGAAAACCTGCCAGAGGGCTCTTTAGCTTTTCAGGTGAAAGCTACAGATAGAGACGAAGGTACAAATGCAGAAATTACCTACACTTTCAGTGACATTGCAAACGATGCTCGCCAGCTCTTCACTCTAGACTCGAGGACAGGAGACGTGAAGGTAAAAGGACCCTTAGATTATGAAGAAGGAAAATACTATGAAGCGAGCGTTGAAGGCAAGGACGGGGGTGGACTGAGCGCTCATGCCAAAGTCCACATAAACATTTTAGATGTGAACGACAACGCACCAACACTTTCCCTCCTGCCTATCGTGAACCCTATACCCGAAGACTCGGTCCTCGGTACAGTTGTAGCTGTGGTCAATGTCCGAGACAGAGACTCGGGAGATAACGGAAAAGTGAGCTGCAACATTGACGACGGTATGCCTTTCAGACTAGAATCGTCATCAGGGAAGACCTATAAACTAATAATAGCCAGTGCCTTGGACAGAGAAAAGGTCTCTGCTTACAATATCAACATCACGGCCAGGGACGGGGGCAGCCCGGCGCTCTCAAGCAGCACAGCGCTGGTGCTGGAGGTGTCAGACGTGAACGACAACGCGCCGGTGTTCGAGGAGGCCGCCTATAGCGCCTACGTAGCGGAGAACAACGCGGCGGGGGCGCTGGTGCTGCACGTGAGCGCTCGAGACGCGGACGCGGGCAGCAACGGGCGCGTGAGGTACTCGTTGGAGGTCGGCAGCGCTGGCGCGGCGCCGTACGTGTCGGTGGAGGCTCAGAGCGGCGCGGTGTACGCACAGCGCTCCTTCGACTACGAGCAGTGCCGCGAGTTCGCGGTGGTGGTGAGGGCGCAGGACGGCGGGGAACCTGCTCGGAGCTCGACAGCGACGGTGCGCATCTTCGTGTTAGACCGCAACGACAACGCTCCGCGGGTGCTGTGGCCCGTGCCGGCCGCAGCAGCGGCCGCGGCCCCGTTTGAGGTGGTTCCGCGGTCGGCTGAGACCGGGTACTTGGTGGCCAAGGTGGTGGCGGTGGACGCGGACGCGGGGCGCAACGCCTGGCTGTCGTACGAGCTCGTGCAGGCTTCAGAGCCGGCGCTGTTCCGTGTGGGGCTTCACAGTGGCGAGGTGCGCACTGCGCGGGCCGTGTCGGACAGGGACGCGGTGAAGCAGCGGCTCGTGGCCGTGGTGAAGGACCACGGGCAGCCAGAGCTGTCGGCCACGGCCACGCTGCACGTGGTGCTGGCCGAGAGCTTGCAGGAGGCGCTGCCGGAGCTGAGCGAGCGGGCGGCGGGCGCCGATTCGGCGGCGGAGCTGCAGTTCTCCCTCGTGCTGGCGCTGGCTCTTCTGTCCGCACTCTTCCTGCTGAGCGTGGCGCTGGCCGTGGTGGCAAGGAGCCGCCGTGCCGGCCCGCCCGCCGTGCTGCGCTGCCTGGGTGCGCAGCGCCTCTCCGGGACCGGCGCCGCCTTCCCGGCCGACTTCTGCGAGGGCACCTTGCCCTACTCCTACAACCTGTGCGTGGCGCCCGGGCGCGCCGTCGCCGAGATCGCTTGGCCACCGCCGCCGCTGCCCGTGGAGGAGCTTCTCGGCGGGGAGCCCTGCGGGGAGAGGAGCCTGATCAGCAGCGCTGGCGCTGGAGAGCCGCCCGCGAAGCCCGACGCACTGCAGGTATGTAAGCCCGTGATGTCCTTGTCTCGGACTCTTTTCCGAGTCAACTCTGTGCTCTTATTCGTCATTACCCTGCCTGCAAGGAGGGTCCTCGTGCTGATCTTCGTTTCCACGAGCGCTGTCTCGTGGCTTTTTATGGTAGCA